TGATGATGATGATGATGATGATGATGATGATGATGATGATGATGATGATGATGATGATGATGATGATGATGATGATGCATGTAAGTATAGTTGGCGAAAAAGCTTTGTAAGCAAAAAAAAAGTGTCTCATGTAGCCAAGAAGTAAAGACAATATTTTATAAATAATTTGTTTTTGAACAATTCTGGCAACCTTTTCACCAATTTTATTAATATTTTGATGATGATAATTATAATATTTTTTATATTTTTACACTATTTGCAACCATTTTTTTAAAAGAATCATGGATTGAAATATTCATGACTGGGTTCTTTTACTGGCTGAAAATCTCAAGATTATGATTACCATTGGAATATGTCAGATACCACACCACACCAGCAGCATGTAGCTTGAAAAGTCACAAAATAATTTTTATGCGCAATGACTACCATTGCACCAATTTGGTTCAAGAAACAGTGACAAGGATATTGTGAGATAGTAAATCTTGGACCTATTACTATCAATTACCCAGTTAATATTGACCAATTAGAACGAATTTACTACGGAAGTCATGTGATGTGTTAAATATTACATCACGACCAATCTTTCTATATACTAATACGTATTACTTTACTATTACCGACAATCATTTTACTGGCAGTTCATTTATTATATAATTGTTTGGTTAAATGTAACCCCCGAGTTGTTGGTAAAATGAATGCCTCCCATTTTTACATCACACGCGAAAGATTCTGATAAGATGCTTTTTCTAAATTAAAGTATGAAATTTAAGAATGCCTTTGCACCAAAACTGTCAAAGAGATATAATTATTTTTATAATATTATAATTTCTCTAGCAAGTTTCAACTTGATAAATAATATTTCGTTTTCCCAACATAATAATTGATTACAGTAGCAATCTTTGCCTTCTTTTGAAATAATCCGGAAAAGCTCACTTCTCCCCTGCTTACTGAAACAAAAATGCACTACTAGATTTTAAACCAGGGTTTCTATTTGCACAATTTCTTATTCATATGATTTGTCTTAACTCGAACTATTGATATGTGTATAAAAATTGACATTACAAATTATTTGAATGATTTGTTATTTTGTTTGATTTAGAATAAATATTCGAATAGAAACTCCATTGCAAACATCATCATCACATGAAATGACTTTCAATTTACAACCTTTCTTTTTGACTTTCTCCTTAATGAATTAATAAGCAGCCGATTTGTTATTAAAATGATTGTTAGGCAATGATAATACTAAGACTATGTAGAAATGAAGCTTTAAAAAACCAATTTTGAAAAAAGCTTGAATTTTCGCCTTACCATCCAAGTGGTAGTGGAAAAGTTTTAGTGGTTGAACCTTTCTTTAATTGTATCTTTGGGGTTCCCTTCTGATTATGTACAATTTCAAGCTTGTAGAATTACTTCCAAAAAAAAAAAACTTTGCGAGCAGACATTCATTTCGTAAAGGATAATGATTTGACATATTGAACTTGGGTGTCAGATTACCTAGATATTTTTTCTTATCCCAATGTGGGTTACCGTTGTGCTAAAACAACTACAGTTGAATTGAATTATATCAACAGAATCAGTCATAGGGATAGCTGCTTCTGGTAATAAGCTAAATGTCGTCAATAGATCCTTCACAAACAACCCAGGCGAGAAATTCTAGACCCACCCATCAAAGTATGAAAGTGAACTCCTAAATTTTTATCGCATCAACTTAGTCTAGAGGTAAAGTTTTTCATCTTAAGAATTATCTTTAATAATCGTACGTTTGCTCAAAGGCAACAAGCATTGGTTATTAGGATGAAAATTATTGTTCTACAGTACATAAAGATTATTATTATTGCTATTTTAAGCCCACCTACTCTCTCCTTCATTACGTAATAAACTTTCAACTTTCCCACAAGTATATCGTGTAACCTTTAATAAAATACTCTTATTACTATAGAAAATCCCAAAATCGTTGTAAATTAATAATTAGAATTAATTAGAATCAGCAATAATGGTTTGTTCAAAGTGTATGTATATTAAAATTATTGTTAAATAAATTTGCAAAAAAAAACATAAAAGCATAAAAAAAATAACAATTGTTTATTTTTTGATTAGGCGAAAAGAAATTAGCAAAAGTTATTTGTCCTGATAAATGGAAAGAAGGCTCAAGAAATGTTAATGGTATGCTGATCTAATAATAATAAGGACAAGAAATTAACAAAAATATTTTTGAATCAACTTATATATAATATTATAATAATAATAACTGTAGTTGGAACGGATAGAAAATTAAATGAAAATAAATTGTTATCTAAACCAGGAAAAAATAGGTTAGTTACCAATTGGTTATTAATAGGTTGCTGGTTAGTTGTCAATTAGTTATATCTTTTTAATATGTTAATAACAACTTTAGTTGTACCCAACAGGTTTAAACCATATGAAAATAAATGTAAAGTTTGTAAGTCAAGAGTGCATCAAGAACATGCGCATTATTGTCAAGGTAAATGTATTCCTTCATTATAATATTAAAGGAGTAAATAATTAATAATGTTTTATCATTTATCACATGATTTCCAATGGATTTATTGGAATTGATATATACTTTTTTTGATGTAAAATAAATATAAATAAATATTTATATGCTTTTATTTTTTATATTATTAAATTAACAATTGATTACATATTGAAAATTCTGTTGATTCCTTAAATATATAACATATTGATACATTTTTTATTATTTAACAATCTATCCATCAAATTTATAAATTCCATCCAATTTTGATAAATCCATTCTAACCCATAAACAAAATTAATAATTATAGAGGATTTGGCTTGACTATTCCTTTAGATACAAAGAAATTGTTTAAAATAGGAATTAATTGTTGTGCAATTGTGAAAGAGAAAACCAATTTAGGACCAACAACAATTAATTTAGGTGTCACTCCTTTAAAGAATGCACTTGTGCCTAAAATAATGATAATAATAAAATTATTAAAATTATTTTTTACCTTCAAAAAAAAAAAATTTTTTTCTTTTTAATTTTAAATTACTACCTTCTTTGAGTATCATTTTGCGAATAATTTGTGTCCCAGTTTCAGGTGAATCAAAAGGTCTATTTTGGATACGTGTTTTAACTACATCAAGTGGTTGAGCCACACTGATAGAAGCTATAGCACCACCAATTGATGCACAGAAATTTTGAAGAAATGTTGCTTTAGAGTAATCTTTTAATCCAAACAAATATTCTTTAACAAAAGCTGATCCACCAAACTAGCATTAATAATGATGATTATTATAAATTTTTAATTAGTTACTGTTAAATTATTAATATTTGTATTGTAATAATAATGATATAATAATGTCATTATGAAATAGCTTTCTTACTAATGCAAAACTTCCTGGTGCATTACGTGCTGCTGTCCAAAGACCACCTCTGAACACATACTTTGAATTCATCATCTTTCTATCCCAACAACATTTTATTGCTTTGGATTTGATTTTATATCATTTCAACTTTAAATTCAAGCCTACAATCATTAACATCAACATTAAAACTATCAAATGTAAACAAATTGCATCAACAATAGTTATTATTTAGCTACAAGACAACACCAAAATTACCAATGTCATTGTCAGCAAAGCAAGTCAGCAACAATGTATTCCTTCATTATAATATTAAAGGAGTAAATAATTAATAATGTTTTATCATTTATCACATGATTTCCAATGGATTTATTGGAATTGATATATACTTTTTTTGATGTAAAATAAATATAAATAAATATTTATATGCTTTTATTTTTTATATTATTAAATTAACAATTGATTACATATTGAAAATTCTGTTGATTCCTTAAATATATAACATATTGATACATTTTTTATTATTTAACAATCTATCCATCAAATTTATAAATTCCATCCAATTTTGATAAATCCATTCTAACCCATAAACAAAATTAATAATTATAGAGGATTTGGCTTGACTATTCCTTTAGATACAAAGAAATTGTTTAAAATAGGAATTAATTGTTGTGCAATTGTGAAAGAGAAAACCAATTTAGGACCAACAACAATTAATTTAGGTGTCACTCCTTTAAAGAATGCACTTGTGCCTAAAATAATGATAATAATAAAATTATTAAAATTATTTTTTACCTTCAAAAAAAAAAAATTTTTTTCTTTTTAATTTTAAATTACTACCTTCTTTGAGTATCATTTTGCGAATAATTTGTGTCCCAGTTTCAGGTGAATCAAAAGGTCTATTTTGGATACGTGTTTTAACTACATCAAGTGGTTGAGCCACACTGATAGAAGCTATAGCACCACCAATTGATGCACAGAAATTTTGAAGAAATGTTGCTTTAGAGTAATCTTTTAATCCAAACAAATATTCTTTAACAAAAGCTGATCCACCAAACTAGCATTAATAATGATGATTATTATAAATTTTTAATTAGTTACTGTTAAATTATTAATATTTGTATTGTAATAATAATGATATAATAATGTCATTATGAAATAGCTTTCTTACTAATGCAAAACTTCCTGGTGCATTACGTGCTGCTGTCCAAAGACCACCTCTGAACACATGTGTTTTATAAATCAATTATTATTATAGAGTTCTTCTTTGGTCATGTATAATTAGTCATTTATATAAGTGGGTGATTACCTATAAAGTCCAAACCCTTCATCCCAAAAAATTTTGAAAATATTTCTATTTTTTAATGTATCAGGATTTGTTTGACGTTTAATTTTCAATACATCCAATGGTAAAAGTGCCACTTCTCCAATGCCAATTAAACTATCATTATAATTAATTAATTTGGAATCGTTTTAAAATTAAATTCATCCTGCTAATCACATCATATCATCCATTCCAAACATATTTACCTTCCAGCAGTGGCATGTATTATAGTCTTACCACTTTTTTCACCAAATAATTTATAGAATGCATCTTTATGATTTTTGTTGATATAATCTTTTACATATGGTTGACCACCATATTTATAGATCCTTTGAAGTACTTTGTATCCACCTGCATAACCTAGCCCTGGAAATAATGATGTGTATTTACGGAAAAAAGTTGCAGAATGCTTATCCTATAATAGTAATATTATTTATTCATTGGGGGAATTTTTCTTTGTACAAAAAAAAAATTTCCAAGAAAAATAAGAGATTTTTACTTTAAATATGGCTTCCCCTAAATTATTAAAACTCTGGGATAATGGTGCACCAGGTACAAAAACCTAATAAACAAACAATTTAGTTAATTGAATTAATTATATTCTATAATTTTTTCCCCATAAAAAGTCCAAATATTTACTTTTTGTTGATTAGTCATTAAACGTTTTGCAATAGTATCAACAGGATGAAATATAAATAATTCTAATATTCCTGAAGTTCCAGAACCTAATAAACGAGCAAGTCCTGACTCCTTTTGTTTTCCTGAGCTAGCTGGTGGTGACATTATTTATTTATAAATTTAAATGTTGAAAAAAAAATTAAATTTTTTTTTGTTTTTTTTAAAAAAAAATTTCTTCGAATATTGTACTATGTTAAACTTGAATATTTGATCAAAGATTTTATTACATAGATTATGATTATCTGCAACAAAACCAAACAAACATTATTATTATTTATTATTATTATTATATATACATATCACAAAGAAATTTCGGGGATCAAATAATTATCGTTATCATTATTATTATCGTTCAAATGACTTGTGTTACATACATTTTTAAGAAATTCTTTCGCGTTTCAATTATTATTATACACTCCCTCCGGACCGGGTACAAATATCCGACCACCTGATGATCATTTTAATAATCGGAAATGTTACGCCTTATGTAGTTTAAAATTTTATTAATCAAAACCGGGTCTGGTGCATTAAGTAAACATGTTTTTAAAAGTTAATTTGCATATAAACTTAAAGTCTTGTCGAGTTTGCATTATTAATGAATTTGGGATGAAAACTTTAAACTAGACAAAAAATTCCGTGATTTTTATGAAAACTTTGAGCTTAGTAAAAACCTTCAAAATTCCGTTGAACCATGGATTACGTCATTAAGTAAGTCCATTTAAAATATCTTGAATTGTATATGGTTAAAATTCGAGAAAATTCGATCAAGTGTAGACAACAAAACGTAAAGCCTTAAAATTTGCATTTTGTCAACTTTATTGTGTTTATATAATAAAATTACGGGTGGTCGGGATACTTTTTTAAACCTTTTCACGAACTAATTTATGCCAACACCATATTGTGGGTCTAATTCATTTCGTCGACAATCATTTCGTTGGCGGTCATTTCGTCGACACCCATTTCGTCGAAAATTATTTCGTCACAAAAAAAAACTTCATTAAACAAATTTCTCCTCACACTTCCCACACACCTCGCTTTCCTCACCTAATTTCTTAACTAACTTCACACACTCCTCACATCTAACTCGTTCGGTCTCTGGCTCGAGGATGAAATAATTTTCGACGAAATGAACATTCGATGAAACAAACTTTCGACGAAATGGGTGTCGACGAAATGACTGTCGACGAAATAATTTTCGACAAAGTAAACGCGACCGATCAATATTATAAAAAAACCAAATCTTTTTCTGTTGTAAAAAACCGGTTTGAACTCGGTTTTTGAACCAGTTTTCAGTTCATGCTCAGTTTGGTTTGGGTTTGTTTTTTTGAACCGGTTTGAATATCTGTTAGGTCATTTATATCATATGCAAGTATTTAACAAAATGTAACATGATGTATTTATTATAAATGCAACTAATTTCAAGATGAAAAATCTATATGTTGAAAAATTTCTATACATTAATCTTCTACTTTATTGATTATCCAGCTCTTAATACATAAATACGCTCTTGCAGTTTCTGGCAACAAACTATTCCACATTTTATTAGTTGTATTTCCAGCAACTGATAATGCATGTTCTGATGAAACATTAGTTGCTTGAATTGTAAGATAATCCCATGCCATATTACTTACAATCAAGCATATGCTTGCCACCATAAGAGAGGGTCTGTCTCTTTGTCTCTTTCCAATACAAGATAATGGTTTACTCTGACACTGCAGGTATTGGGGGGTTGTAAATGTTGAAGTTCGTGGACAACTTGTCCAAGTTGCATGAAATATTGACAACTTATATTTATTGTAGATGTTGATGTTCTTCTTATAGGAGATGATAATGTTTGGTAACTAGTAAGTGCTAACAAAAACCAGTAAACATTACAGTGAACCCTCCATAAGTACACCTCACTCGGGAATGTGTGAATTTGAAATCTGCGTCAATTTGTAATTCACGCGTGAAATCAAATTAGCCAATTAGAATTTTAATAAATTTCAAGTTGATTTTCACGTGATAGGAATAAAAAATTGATTCATTGTCATTGAATTTATTTTTTTTGAAATTAATATATATACTGATCGATCAACTTGTTGTTTTTAGGATTTTCTTGTTGTAGTAAAATATTCTATTCCATCCACTTCACCAGAAACTAATGATAATAAGCATTTTTCAAATATTTTTGCATTCCTTCGCAAATTTTATACAGTCAATCCTCGTTTCAACGAATTATAATTAAACTCGCGTTATAATGAATTTTTAAATGCAATTTTCTTATTATCGTGTCTCATAGATTCGTCGAAACGAGGTTTATGCATATATTTCAGAATTTTTATTAGTAGTACAAATATTGTTAAAACGTGTAATCTTTGTCTGTCATAAAATTATTGATGATTCATCTAAAATTCAAATATTTATTATTATTAGTTTATTATTGTTTTACTTCTATAATTATTCAATTATTTTCAGTGGTCTACAAAGTTGTGATTTTATAAAATAATAAATATTGGATTTTGAGTTCGATCAAGTATAAACTTGGATACTCTTACCACAGAATTGGGAAGATTCTATTGTATGTGACTGCCAAATTAAGCAACTCGAATCTTGGTTTTTTACTAATTAAAAAATAAAAAATAGCATATTTGGATACTAAACATAGCAATTTTCAATATTCTTTATATAAAATAAATATGCCATTTGATTAAAAGAATATGATGGATTTTTAGTGTATTTAAACGTTAAAAAGGAATAAGAAAATTTTCGAAACTTTAAGTATTACAGTCTATTCATTGTCTGATCTCAGACACTGTTACAGCCAACATTCTGAGCAGTAGTGACTTTACAAATGATAGCAAAGGTTGTGCTGATGAATTATATTGCATTAATAATTGATGCACGTCAAAGTTATTCAATATTCGTGGATGTAACATATCGTAGTTGGCACAACACTTTAATAGCAATAGGATACATTTATTTTCAGGTTAGTGTTTTAAATAAGGATATACTTTTTTTGCCACTTGTCCCAAATTATCACAATATTGATTCATGAATTTAAAACACTTGTTGCAATCCAAATCATTATGGAAGATCTCTATCACTTATGGCTAAACAAGCTTCCTGAGAATAGCAAATTAAAATTCTTATTGATTGTTGATAACTCTGTTAATTTTGACATCAAGAAGGCACCCAAAAAAAACTGTATGATGAATATGAAGTGAGTGAGTGACGTTCAATGACGCCAGATCTCTTCCAATTTTGGCCAAGTTTATACCTCACTCATCATATGTAGGTCAGTCTCAAAACTTGGCCAAAAATGTTCTACATGAGGAGTTACATATAGTAGTGACATTAACTCAAAGTTGCTTTTTTCACAACATGGTCCGTTTCTATTGAAAAAGGTCCCATATATCCAACAGATATGTAATATATTATTACAAAGTTCATCTCTCCGGAATTAAGTATGAACAAATAAATTATATCGTTTATGAAGGTGAATTGGTGTGAACGAGTCCTAAAAGCCCATCCATTCTAAATTGTTGCACTGTAAATAAATAGACTTTGTATATTTTTATTGTTTATCTATGTAACTGAATTTAAGTTTTACAACTTTTTTTTTAAAATGTTAAAAAAAATAATTTATTATTATAAAGTTCTAAATTAAAAAAAAGACATTAAATTAATTTTCTATTTTTTTGTTAAAAAATAAATATATAATAATTATGCAAGTGTCATCCATTTTCTTCCGCTTTCACCAAAACCAATATTAAGTCCCATTGATGTTAATCTAGCTCTAGCTTTATCATGGAAATTTCTTTCATTACTACCAGTTTCTGCAGATGCGCCCAGCAGACTATCAATACCAGCTGATTTGAAATCAGTGCGCATTTGAAGGTAGGGAATAACATATCTAATCTCAAGTTTGGCAAGGTAACCTTCATTAAGAACTGATTTAAGTATTTCAGGCTTTACGACAAACAAGCTTCCTAATTGATGCAATAACTCAAATCGCTCATCTAATTGAGGAATTTTGAAAGATGCAAAGGTTTCTTGATATTTGGTAATATCCCTGAAAATTTTATAGTTGTATATACAAATATATATATGTACGATCAATCACATGCATTTATATATGAACAAATAGATCATTAGAAATTAATACATACTTTGACAAGATAAGACATCCAGTGGGACTGACAGTAAATTTTTTGAAATGATCTAATAACATGCTAAAAAAAGAATATTTACATATTTTTTTTAATAAAAAAAAAAAAATGCAAATCAAATTATATAAATTTTTCATTATTACAATTACCTGTGAAACAAAATTCCTACTTCGGTCAAAAAATTTTCAAAATTCTTGCCGTCAAGATATTTGTTCATATTTACATTAACTTTTTTAATATACTCAACACAATTATTACAAGGCTAAAAAAATTTTCCAAATTTTCAATTTAATGAAAGCCAAGTTTTTCTTGATAATTAAATAATAAATTAAAAAAAAGATATACCATAGTTGCAATATTTGTTATAAGATCTTCTTCATCTTTTGGTTTAAAATCAGCTCTTTTTTGACGAGATAAGAAAAAAGACAATCTTGCAATTATAGCTATATTTTTAATTTAATAATATAATGATGGTGAAATCATTGAAAGAAGTAGAGATAGAATGAATAACTGAGAAGAGCAAATCATCAAATTTAAAAAAATACCATCTATCATTTTTTGAACAGCAGAATTCATCTTATTTTCTACTCCCATCATAAACTTATTCTTATCAGATGTGATCTCACGATGAATTGCTAACGAAGGAGACGCTAAAGGCAACTAAAAATAATAAATATTTATTTACTTCTTAATATTATATATATATTAATCACAATTAAAATGTGGAAACTTACGATTACTGCTTGGAAATGATTTTGTTCCAAGTGTATGATATCTCTTGCCACCTTTACAACAGCGAAGACGCTAAAATCTGTTTCACTTTTTGAATCCATTGCAGCCATAAGCTCTAAACATCTTTTTTTTTTAAAAAATACATAATATTGTCATCATCATTATTTAATTTGAATCACTATATAAAAAAGAAAAAATAATTACGATTCTAAAGCCACATCCACATATTGTCTTCCAATAAAATCTAACAAGACATTAAACAAAGCACTAGCTATTTTTGGACTACATTTTTTAATAAATAAATAAATAAAAAACACATTTATTAGCGAAAATCAAATATTCTATTGCCACTAAGAATTAACAAAATAGGATAAGAGATGATAAATACAGTTCAGATGGAGGACACAATTTTACAGAACGTTTACTTGCTTCTGCATGAATTTTAAGCATAAGTGTACCAGTGTCTACTCCTAAATTTCCATCATCATCAGTTACTGGAATTTCCATTAGATTGGCTCCACCAAATTGATTAGGATTTGATGACGATGTTATTTGATTAACTGCACGTTGAAATAAACTTCCACTTCTTGCATGTTTTTGTTGTGCCTAAAACAACGAAAACAAAAATGATAATGATAAATAATGATGATGATAATTAGTCAAGAATATTAGAAAAACTTACATGATAGGCAGTAAATTTAAGAAGCAAGGAAGAATACAATTCCATAAGAGATCTTTTTTCTTTCTCCAGGTAACGTTCACCTTCAGTATATGGAACAAACAAATCTTCAATACATTGATCCAATACTTCTGCTATTGTATTATTTTTTTTTGTGTCTTCCTCATTTTTAGTATTTATATTATCTTTGGTACTTCCTTCTTGACGTATTTCTACACTTTTTAAACTCGTAACTAGGTCTGTGGTTGCTGCACGAACAGCTGCCAATGATCTTAAGTAAGCCAAAGTTGAATTATTTTCAGCATGCGATAAAAGACTTTCTAAATAAGTTTGTATCTAATTTTATATATATACATGGATATTATTAATTATAATATTAAATAGTAATCATTCCGAATACACATTTAAAAAATAGGTAAATGTATATACCAATTGAGCAAAAATACGTTGCAGAAAAACTTGCATCACGCCAATTGGATTTGGAAAAACAGCATTGATATTAATAGCTTCTTTTATCACGGTATTTTTAATCTCTTCATAAAATACAATGAGCCCTTGATCGATAGGAGGAGGAGGAATTCGAGGATTTGGTAGATCATCCCAACTTCCAAAATACACAAACTATGTATTTGTTAATGTTGTCAAAACTATTTGATTTTTTTAAAACAATTAAATGTATTCTATAACAGATTTTTTTACCCTGGACTAGAAAGAAACTCTTTTTTTTCACCAACGTTGATTTTTGTTATAAAAAATTGATGTTGATTTACATATAATTTTACACATGATTCACAACCATTGAATTCTTGCAATGTTTTTGCATAATGCTAATTAAAAATATATGCACAGTGGTTATTATATAAATTAAAATCAATTTTATAGATTAGATATTTAAGAAATAAGCTAACCTGCATGGTTTTTAAATTTCGTTCTTTATACGCTCTATCAAAATGTTCAAGCAACTCTTTTTCTAAAATTTCACAATATTTCTCAATACGTTCTCTTGCCTAATATAAACATTAAATTATTATTATTATTATTATTATTATTATTATTATTATTATATTATTTAATTCAGCAAAATAAAATTATAATAGATTTCATGTTGGTTGGTGATAATTTACAGCTTCAGCGCCAGGAATGTCAACATCTTTTGCAATGGCATTTAATCTTCTAGCAATAACTGCAGCCTAGTTTTTTAAAAAACGTTATTTTTAGTTTAATAAGTATTCACGATAGAACACACATACAAATGTGTATAATTCTTCAAACCTTTAATTGTCCATCTTTTCCGCCATATGTACGAAGATTTTCTAATTTTGCAATGTCACCACGATTAAAAGCCATAAAATATTCAATGAGATCCTTTGATTCAGATGCACGAAGTCTTTGTTTATCAATTATTTCCAATTGTTCGCCGATTCTTATAGCAGTGTTACCAACTTCGTTAATTCTAGTTTCTAATGATTCAAAAGAATGTACAACATCCTACATAAATAAATAATCTATTAAAAATTACTTTGTTTAAAAAAAATTTGTGAGTGGTCAAATTTTATTTACATACTTCAAAAGCTGTTTTTAATTCAAGTAATTTTTTACGATGTCCATCTTCCGTTAATTGCACAGTTGCCTCGAATATCTTACTTTCTTCTTGTACACTTTCACGAAGCTTTAACAATTCATCGATTGATCTTTCAAAAGTTCTTATAAACGGTTTTGGATCAAATGCTTTTTTTTATAATAAAATTTAGTTTTTAAAAGAAAAAAACCTTGAAACGTAGAAAATAATTATAAAACTTACTTTTTGGATTGGCATGTTTTAACAGATTTGTAGAAGTTTTTTCCACGAAATCATGAGTTGTAAACTTTCCTTGCTATATGGTTCAAGAAAATAATAAAAAATTGAAAACATTTTAATCTCTTTACGTGACATGAAACCTTAAATCTGATGTCAATTAATATACATATTTTTTTCTTACGGACTTGAAAAGTTTCTATTTTTAGAATAGATTTAACTTCTGGATCTAAATCATAAGGATTAGCTTTTCTAATATCACTTTTTTGCATTCTTTATATATATATATATATATACAAGTATTTGTATCTTTAAAAAGAGATATGAAGTGAATTTACACGAACAAAAAAATATAAAGAATATTATTGGTCAAATTATGTATGTTTAAAGTTTTTGGGGTCTTATAAGCCACCACACAATAATAAAATTAAAAAAATAGTATATATATATATAATAACTCTTTAATTTGCGATTCATTAAAATTATGGTACGTGTTAAATTAATAATAATAGTGATAACAATCTCATTAAGACTGGGTTTTTAAATTTTCTAAAATAAAAAATGATGATAATTTCAAAAAAAAGGAAGAATCGACTGCACATTTATTATCTGATGCACCTTTAGAACCAGATGTTGAAATAGGAATTAATGATGGACAAAAAACAAACGTTAGAGGGAATACAAGCTCTTCACAAACCAATAACACATCATCAACATCAACACCTGCAGCACCAAGTCAGAGTATCTGGGATCAATCTAGGTACGTGCTATTAACAAAACATATTTCCGGTTATAAAACTATATATATAAAATTTTTTTTTTTTTTATAGCCATCCAATTGCATTATTTTTTCACCTTTTCTTTCGTGGATTAGCAATAATCATATATCTTTTTGGAACTTATTTTGTCGATAATTTCCCATTAATATTTATTCTTTGCGTATTATGTTTATCATTTGATTTTTGGACAGTTAAAAATGTAACTGGTAGATTGTTGGTAGGATTAAGATGGTGGAATGATATTCAAGAGGATGGATCAAACATGTGGATGTTTGAAAGTCGTGATGTAGGAAAACAAAATATTATTATGATGAGTTTTGTGTGAATATATAGCATATTTGATTAATTATATACATAATATTTATTTGTTTAGCCATCAAGACCAGTTAATCCAACGGATTCTCGTATATTTTGGATTTCACTTTATGCAACAATAGTGATATGGATATTTTTTGGATTTTTTGCATTATTAAAACAATGGTTCTTAATTGTACTAGTAGCATTATCATTAAATATAGCAAATGCAATTGGCTATACTCAATGTGACAAAGATGCAAAAAAGAAATGGGCAAGTAATTTGGCATCTAGGGCAGCATCAGAAAGTCCAAGTCTTGTAGGAAGATTATTCACTGCAGGCATAGGAAAATATTTTGGATAAAGAAGATAATAATAACAATAATAATTAATTAATTAAAACTTGTATATTATTGTCATTAAAATTGTATCAAAATTTTTAATAAATCATTAATCATTCATTATTATTATTTTTATGTAGTTATAATATATTTTTTTTTTAATATAATAGAAGAGGGAAAGAACAATCAATTCAACCAAATAATTTAATAATAATATTTTATTTTTCACTTATAAATAAATTATAATACGATTCTAAATAATTTAAGATTTCAATATTATTATTATACAATAAACTTTGATTATTATGAATATAATCTAAAATATTTGTTAAAATATATAATTGTTATTCTTCTTGCTATTATTTTGGTTACTGACAATTATATTTGGTAAATAGTAAATAATCTGAGAAAGTAATTGTCCAGATAATTAATTAGTAAAAAATACTCTTGACCAATCACCACTCAAAGTTACTCAAACAAGAGTTCAATTATGATTTGAAATACTTACAATTGATTCTAATGATTCAATAAAATTTGTTTCTGAATATTTTAAGATTCCTAATATTAAGTATAGTAATAATGAATTGTTTTCAAATAAATTTTTGTGTTGACTCATTAATTTAATTATTAATGAAATGTCTCTTGCTGAATTTAATAAATAATCTAAAAAAAAAAATTTATATAAATATTTTTACTATTTATATAATTATTATTGAATAATCATCAATTGATTGCCATTATTATTGACAGTTAACTCGCACCTCTTATTCTTATAATAATATCAGTTAACGTAATAATTAGATTAATTAATCCTTCTTTGTCCTCTTCATCTATTGGAAGAATCAGCCAACCTAAATATGAAATGAATTCTTTCAACTGCAAATAAAAAAATACCATCATTATTCATAATAATAACTAACACTATTTGTATAATTAAAGTTGTGCTGAAAACTTACTTCCTCAATATTGGAATATTTATTGATGTCCAAAATTTCATTTATAGTCCAATAATTCCATTTTACACAAGATTTAAAGATTATCCATACTTGTCTTTTATGATTTAAATAATACGATGACTCTTCTATAGTAAATGAATGCTTTCTAATTCTGTTTAATTCTTCAAGTGAGTTCAAATCAGGATTAGATTTAAGTATGGTTATCATATCTATTAATTTGCTTAGAAATTTACACTATTTAGGTATTAGTAAAAGATTAGAGGTGAAGTGTTGGAGAATTATGGAATGGAGAGTTCCTTAAAAAAATTTTTTTGTACCTTTATGTTTGATTTATTAACTATGAATTCAATATTTTCATCAAATATTAACTGAATAACTAATTCAATTAATCTTAGTATCCTCTGATCAGGTATTTCCAATATCAATTTCATCAGCACATATAAACATTGATGAAATATTTCAGGATGTTTAAACATTCTTTGAATTATAATGTTTGATTTTAAGAAACCTTTGATATAATGTGGATTCATGTAATTACTATCAATTGGGAAAAGTAATTGACCAAAAATGTTCATAATCTTACAAAAAGAAAAAAATAGACATATACGATTAATAATAATAGATTTGTAAATAATTGTTATTGTTAAGTATGTATATATAATAAGCATTTTACCTCATTTTCTACAGTAATTGGACATGTTGCCCATAATCTATACAATTATAAATGAATAAATATATATGTATGTATGTGAATTTAACCAAATACTCTCAATATCTTTGATAAAGGAACTGCTTTACCCATCCTTTGCATCGATAGAAAGGTGCTCATAAAATGTAGTATTGATAAAGATCAATTTTTCTATAAAAACATCAGAAAATAATAAAAATTGTTCATCATTATTATTATTTTCAAGGCATGTTTCATAATTTAAATAATTTTTAGTTGCCACAACTATTATACGATCTATCAATTCTACCATATTCAAATCATTTAAAAGTGGCAAACATTGTTGTGAAATTTTTATAAAACATTTATTCTAATAATAAAAGATTGTTAATATTATATCATATAAGAGTAAATATCAATTAATAAATAATTAGTTAATTATGTCTTGTCCTAACTTACAGGTAATTCAACTGATGAATTCTCTATGACTTTCAAGAATTCTTTTATTGTTGTAATAAATTCTTTGACTACAAGCCCATGGAATTCATACAATCCAATTTCATTATAATATGAAAAGTTGTCTGATATTTCATCTACATCATTATGAGATTGAATAATACTTTTAATTCTATCTGCGCACCAATTTCTTGAGTTATTTCCTTGAATAAAATTCGGAACATTGTTCAAGCATTTAGAAAATTCTAACACGCATTTTACAATTAATTGACATGCAACAGGGTGAAGAATTAAAATCCTATTTAACTGATTAAACTCCAGTGTAGAATTGTAGATATATATTAATATTATTAATATATAAAATGATTCCTTTGTTAGATTATTATTATTAAAGAAAAAACTACAAAATTGAAATATACCGCTAAATCTTTTAATAAACTTTCACCTTTTGGAAATCTAAAAATACAGTCACTAGCTGTATTACATTTAACAAGTTGCTAAATAAACAAAAAAGAACGAGTAATTCTTCATAAGTAATAATAAAATTACGCGTTCTAACCAATAATAATTATTTTTACATTATGAAAATTTTTTAAAAAATCTATAATGTTATCAATGTTCCCAATTATGTCAACAGTATTAGGTGTAAGTGCATCTTTTTTCTTTGAATACAATTCATGAATTCGCCAACTTGAAACGAGTTTAAATATAAGGATTCCCTGAGCTTGTAACATTTTTATTTACAATGATGATAAAATTTGATCTAAAATTTCAAATGATCGTCATAAATAATTTTATTTTTAGATGATGATAAATATTTCAATAATAATAAATTATATACTATATACTATATATATGTTGTATGTGAAATTGAAACTATGTGAAATCGAAATTTATAATTGAAATTTTGGGTGGGTGTTTGGATATGAAATTCTGATTGGCTAATTTGAATTTCACATATGTGAATTGCAAATTCACGTAGATTTCATTTTCACGCACAACATATATAAAGACTTAAATATTTATTTATTCTCTTTTCTAAAATAATGAATAATAATAATAGTTGTATAATTAATATTTGACAAAAATATAATATAATATAATATAATAAATTTACAATATTTCTCCCCCTCCCTCTTTCTTATTTCATTCAATCATTTTGATCATCAATCTTATTATTATTTATTTCTTTATTTTCAGATTCTATCTCTGATAAATCATTAGATGATGGTGGTGGTGGTTTTGTTTCTTATTTATTGATTGATTAATATTATTTAGTGAAATATATAATTTTATTTAATTAGTAAAGATGGACAAAATTTAAAAGTTTGTGAATGCTTTAAATAATATTTTCCACTAACCATTATTAATCTCAACATCTTTACTTTCATCTTCTTTCTCTTCTTTCTCGCCTTCATCTTCATTTTTACTTTCAATCTTGATTGATTCGTCGTTTTCATCTTCATTCTCGCCTTCATCTTCATTTTTACTTTCAATTTTAATTGATTCGTTATTTTCATCTTCTTTCTCGCCATCACCTTCACTTTCATTCTCATCCTCTTCTTCGACCTCCTCACCTTCAGACAGATCTTTCGTTTTAATGTCTTCAGGTTTTAAATCAAATGACAA